GAGAAGAGGGAAAGAGGTAAATCTTGTGGGTTGAGATAAGGACAGACATTCTAAAGGGAAAGGAAAATATTACTAATTATAAGAGAAGATATAAAGCAAGTGGTGTACAATGCACTTGCTCACCATGCACTGACTGATGCCCAGCACATCCCTGAGCAAGGGGCTGCCCCACCTTGTCGACCAATTGCCCTTAGTTTTATTGCTCAGTAGAGTGCTGATTATGGTATGGAATATACTTTCTGTCTGTTTGGATCAGGTGTCCTGGACATTTACCCTCCCAGCTCCTTGTGCACCCCCCACCTCCTCACTGACAGGGCAGCATGAGAAGCTGAAAAATCTTTGAATCAGAGTAAGCCCTGCTCAGTAACAGCTAAAGCATCAATGTGTTATCAACATTATTGTCATCCTAAATCCAAAACACACCACTGCATTAGCCACTAGAAACAATAATAACTATCCCAGCCAAAACTAAGGTACTAGTTCTTTCTCTCCCTCTTTGTTTCCAAGCTGACAGCTCTGAATCAGCAGGATTATCTAGTATCTCTAAAGTTTTACACTGACTTAAACTTGGTTGTCACAAAGGACTTCAGAGGCCAAAGAGTCAAGCACTTAGGGAGATGCTGTGGTGAAAAGAAGTAAAGAAAGGCCAGCAGTGGGGGAGTGGAGGGAAGTAATCACAAAAATTAACTTGAGCCCTGGGGATACCTGACCTGCTTCTCTAAGCTTCTTTATAAAGCATGGAGGATAATTATGGAACAGACAAGTCAAAGCAGAAACCTAATTTTAGGCTGTCTGATACTGCAACCCCACGGGAACTTCACTCGCCATCACAGAGCTCCAGTGTCCACATTTTAAAAAGGGACCTTCTAAAAGTAGTCTGTGAGCAGAGTTGAAACACAAAAATCATTGAAGAACTGGAGAAAATGTCATTTTTCTAGTTTGGTCTGTTTATCTTATCAGGAAAGAAGACTGGGAGGTGACTAGATTAAGGTGTACAAATGCTTTCTTGAGTTTAAAAAAAAAAATTCTCACATGTGAAAGGGGACTTTAAACAAGCAGAGGAATACACAACTAGAACCAATTGTCTGGAAGCAGAAGCCAGAAAATTTAAATTAGAAAATAAGCATACATTTTTTAACAGGGAGTGTGAGTAGGTACTGGAACACATTACAAAGGAAAATACTAGATTCTCACCTTATTCAGATTTCAAGTCAGGACTAAGCTGAAAGAAGTTTCAGTGAAACTAAGGGTCTTACTACAGCATTACTGTCTGATAATGGCCCATGATATTCAAGAGATTAGATAGTCTCTCTCAACCTTAAACACCATGAAGATTAATTCTTTGAGTCTGTACCAGTCACCAGAGATATAGGTTTTGTATAAAAAAATACTCCCAAATTCAGCTCAGCAGTTTGATAACTTCTGGTATCTTTCCACACCAACCAATCTCTGAAAGATTTCTGGACATAACATCACGAAAATCCATAAGAAAAATGCCCAGGGAAAATTATAGTGGGCCTTTATTCCTGGAAAAACAGTTTATTTCAGATGTTACATTCAACTAAGTAATCTGTTGCTAAGGTTTTCCTTGTACTTAAAAAAAAAAGCCCAACATTAAGACAAAATTTATGAATTAAAAAGCTTTAATGTTAAATAAGAAGTATCGAAATGACTTGGAGTGAAAAATATACATTCTCTAACTTCAAACACTAATGGAAACTAATACAGGGATAGGAGAAAGTAAAAAGGAAAGGCAGAGGGAAAGGGAATCTTGTGCAAGAGAAAAAAGGTATTCAAAACCACTCTGGAAAGGAGATATGATCAAATTAATTGCAATTAAAAAAAAAAAAAGGAAAAAAGAAGACCTTTAGTGATGACAAGAAAATGGACCTAGATTACATGATTTGCAGTGCAAAGGATGAAAACATGCCAAAACTAACTTAATAGATGCTGCAAAAGCAGGGGGAAAAACCAAGGAGGAAGACACAACCTTGAGGGCAAGATACGAAAGCCATGGCATGGCTACTGGGAGAAAAAAAAAATTCTTTGCCCAAGCCAAAGTCATCAAAAGGCATGGGATGCCATGAAGTGCAGGGACATGGAGCAAAGCTTGCTCAAATTGATCCCCATTGAAATCCTGGAAATAGAAAAGAAGGACTTACAAATGCTCCGGAATGGAGATACCATCAAAGGAATTGCACTTGCAGGGGAAAAAAAAATGGTGAAATTTAGTGACTACAAGGAAATGGACCAGGATGACATGAGGTGCAGTGCAAAGGGCCAAAACATGCCAAATTTAACCTCACAAATGTAGAAAAACCAGGAAAACAAATCAAGAAGGAAGACAGGACTCTGAGGGGAAGATATTGCATGCATATGTATTTGAGAGGGATATAAAAAAGCATCTGGAGTGCCCAGAGGTAAGCATGTCATTTTAGGGAACAATTCCCACATGTGTCCAGTTCTGTAATAACATACCAGCTTTATAACTTTTCATAGAAATTGTGGAGTTTGTTTGCTTTCACAAATCACTCCTTTCCAGAGTATTTTTAAGTCTTTCTTTTCTGTGTGGAAACATTTGGTTTCCCTCTTTGCCCATGTGAATGCCATCAAATGCATGGGATGCCATGAAGTGCAGGGACGTGGACCAAAACTTGCGCAATTGATCCCCATTGAAATTGCCTATAATCTCCCCAGTAAACTGACGTGCTCTATTAATTTTGAGTTCTTTTAAGGGATTTCCAACATGGTAAGTTTCAGTGGGTTTGACTTGAGCTGCTGGGGAAGGCTAAAGCCTCTGAATGTAACACTTGAGTTTTTAATTGCAACTTTTTCTACCATGCGGCTGCACTCTCCCTGCCCACCTGCATTCTTATACAGCCCACACATAGCATGGCTTTTCCCTACCCTTATATCCAAGCAGAGAAATAGGCAGAAAGCCATAACAAAACCATGATCTCAACTTCTTCCCTACTCTGGCCCTGCATTTCATGCAATTCCTCCCTTTAGCCAGTATCCCACCTTCCCCTGCTACAAACTGCAGTAGCTGAGAGGTTTCATTACTTGAGTAGACAGGCCACAAAGCTTTCCTCCCCTCTATCCCTGGTGTCTCCAAGCAGGAAATCTTGCCTCATAATTTCTAACTGACTTCCTCCTTGTCTTTTCACTCAAGAGCTATACAGATTTACCAGGGTTCAGCACTCTGCAGCAGTTTTCAGTTCAGCCACTTGCCAGCCATTTGAAGTTTCTCTTTCCAAGGAAATGGCATTATACAGAAAAGTAACATATGTGACCTGTGAAGCATTGATCTTGCCTTGATTTCCTGGCAAGGTCATTGCAGTATATATTTGCATTTTTGTAGTACTTGCCTTATATATAATAGTATTTATTTTGCTGGGTGACCTACTTCCAGGTAATATATTTATCAAGTATCTGGGCAAGAGGATCAAAGGCACCCTCATTTACTTTGCAGATAAGAGAAGTTGAGAAAGAGCGTTGGTATGGTGATGGGTAGGAAGGCATACGGACTGACTGGATCAATGGGTCAAGGCCAGTTGTCTGAGGTTCAATAAGGCAAAGTGGTGTGAGCCTTGGGTCACAGCAACCCCATGCAGAGCTATAGGCTGGGGCAGAGTGGCCAGAAAGATACCTGGTGGAAAAGGATTTGGGGGTGCTGGTTTATAACAGCCGAACATGATCCAGTGTGTCCCTGTGGCAGGACATCTACCTTCCTCCTCTCTCTACCACAGATGCTTTATACACAGATGCTGAATAAAGAGATAACCCAGGCTGAAAGGCCCAGAAAGGTGCCAAAAGGGCTCACACCTCAGCTAAGAATCAACACCTTCATCTGGAGATCTGATGTTGGAAGAGATAAAAGAAATATTCTTGACTAAGAGACACTGTTTCACAAACTATAAAAGACACACCAATTATGAGAGAGGCAGAAGCTTTCTACACACACACACCCTGAAAGTGTTGGAGACTTCGGCCCAGAGTATGTACACAGGTTCTGTGGTTACTTCCCTGAGGACTGAGGGCAAGGATCTCAATGTGTGCCCCACCAACAAGTGAATGGTAAGATATATTGAATCCTAAGTTATATTACTTCTTCACTAGCTGTAGAATTAGTTATTATTTAACCTTGTGCTGCATATATCTACTAGTAGTTTCCTTTTTGTCCTTATTCTTGTGTAGTATTTAGTTTGCTTTAGGTCTTATGTCTGTTTGTTTTCTGTCTATATAAATAAATAAATCATTCTATAACAGACCAAATCAGCTATTACTAAAGAACTTGTGAATGAGAGTGGATTTTGGGGCGCTGGCTGCCTCAATAAAGCCTGCTGCCAGAGGCCTGGGCAAAAGGCAAGGACTTACCTAAAGCCCCACATCCAATCATAACAGTGCCCAGGTGGCCAAGAAGGCCAATGGCATCCTGGCCCATATCAGCCACAGAGTGGCCAGCAGGACAACAAAGTGATTGTCCCCCTCTACTCAGCACTGGTGAGGCCACACCTGGAGTGCTGTGTCCAGTTCTGGGCCTCTCATGACAGGAAAGACATTGAGGGGCTGGAGCATGTCCAGAGAAGGGCAATGTGCACTCTGCACATGACAGCTTCTGATCACCACATCATTCACCAGTCCTTCTCTGTTCACAAACAGCAGGCTCAGAGGGGCACCTTCCCTTGGCTCACTCACCAGCTGTATCAGGAAGTTCTCATCCATACATTCCAGAAACATCCTGGATTGTTTTCTCTCTGCTGTGCTGTATTTCCACAATATATCTGGTAAATTCAAATCCTCCACAAGAACAAGTGCCAGTGATTGTGAGACTTCTCCCAGCTACTGAAAGAATTTTATAGACTATTTTGTCTGCCAGTATTATAGAATATTTGGTCAGTTGCTTAAGCAAAAACAAAATACTTGAAAAATGTCTCTATTAATGCAAACATGCATAGAGAAAATCACACATAATGGATACACATCCACAGTGTCAAACATCTTCACATTGCTCTATTATGAGTCATGCTAAAGTACTGTCCTCAAACCATGTTTTCCTAAAATAAACTTCAGTGTTGGCTTTGTGAGCTGGAGAGCAGACTTACTGATTTCTAGCAGCATGAAACATGTTAGGTTACAGGTCATTTAAATAAATTGTTTTTGACTTTTGAAATGTACAGACTACCTTTGCTGAAGGACCTGTAGGCATGAGAAGGCATTTTCGAGATGCATTAAACACGCTAGTTATACAAAAGAGTGCGATGTAATTGTTACATTAGTACATGAAGGCACAGAGGTGAACACGAATATCATTCTCCAGATTGATCAGTTAGGATTTTGCATACAAGATTTGACCCAGAACATAAAGATCAACTTATTTTCCATTTCAAAATAGCAATCTGTATTAATCTATCATCAACAATCCAAATACATTATAACTAGCATCCTTAAAAACAAACTGAACTTTTCATGCAAATCTTACAGGATGGGTTAGATACGCTAAAATTTTAAAATTCCTTTTTCTTTCCACTGTCAAATGGTCTTCTCAAATGACAATAATTAACACATTCAATTTCATCCTGGAGCAATCTGTGGTAGATCTGATGATATATTACCTTTCAACAACTTTCCACCAAACTCTTTTGGGGAGCATTATTTTCCTGAAACCATTAAGAAGGAAGCTTTGCTGTTTCAGGCCAGTCATGAGACAGCTGTGTTGGAAACACAGCTTTGGACTATGTCATTTGGTGGGACAGTGACCAAGCCACAATGCAGCTCAAGGAGATCCATGAAGCAGAAGAAGGTCATCAAAAAAGCTTTTCTCCAGTTAACCATACTTGCATTCTCACTTACCATTCCAGTCTACCTGTGTTCATGCTACCAAAGACACATTGCCTGAAATACAATTTTCAATGCTATGAGTTTGTAGACCTTAATAGCAGAAGTAATAAACTAGATGCCTCTTCATCACAGACCAGCTCCTTATGCTAAGAGCAATGGGATGTTTCTTCATTCACGCCCATGCCTCATTTCAAATCACTTTATCAAATTATGTTGATCAGCACATGGCTATGTTCCTGCACAAACTGCTTCAATTTGAGCATATTTGCCCCTGTATCTGAATGTCATCAAGGATGTTCTCCAGGAATAAGTTAGCATGGCTATTGCTTCTTCATATTCTCCTTCTATGTTCACTTCTGGTTATTTCATTGAAGAAATCAGGCAACTACTTGTTGAGGAATACATCTGAAGTTTCCTTAACACTACAAAAGGTTATGTTATACAACAACGAAGAGAAACAGATGTTATTTGTTTATGAAGACAAATTTCCAGACGCTTCAAGATCACTTGTGCAAAGCTTAAACAACTGCTTGCTTTTATTGTAATTACCCTCCAGTTCCCTTCTGCCATCACCCTCCAGAGTGTGCTATACTTCCTTACTTCAGTGTTCCAGGGTTTTATGTTATTTGAGACATGAGCTTTGTCTGATAATAAAGTTTCTAGAAATATCTGCAGCCAAAATGGTAAAACAGAAATTGTAATAAGGGATCATAATAAAAACATCCCCATTTCCAGAAATAAAAAAGCCCAACCAATCAGGTAGTATAGCACCTATTAGTTCTGAAATTGCTTAGTACTTTTTTTTTTTTTTTTTGTTAAAAGCATAGCTACTTCATTCCTTTCTCATAAATGTCTTACCCCAATAGCAGGAAAATATCAAGTTAATGTGTTGGTCACAGCCTGTTGTTCACACAGCATGTTTCCACACATCAACAGCTTCTAAGTCCCCAGAAGGAATTTTCTGCCTCCATCTGATAATGAAACACTCTACACACAACACATTATTTCCCCTCACAGAACAGTACAAAAGCTTACCTGCGACCTCAGCAAAATGACAAGTCTTCAGCCTTGAGATGTTTGCCAAGATCAGCTGTGCAGTGTTATATTCTAAAACCTGTTACAGTACAAGTCTCTGACAGACGTTTGGCACTGTAGAGTAAAGAAGACCTGCATGTAGTTAGCGTCCATGGAAGATACAAAGCCTCACCACCTTGGTAAGTGCAGATCCAAAACAAAACTCAGTGCAGCAGTTTCCCCATCAGATATAAAACACCTATAACTCAATCAGGTTCCCACAGTCCTGAGAAGAGCCTGAACTTGGGCATCCCATATACCTTTGTGACTAGTTGCATGGAATATTGGGAACTCCTTAGAAGGCTTTATTTCATCAATAGTGACTGCAAGGTTGATTAACTTAAGGACTGACCAGACAGATGGTGCTACACTTGATTGCCCCAACCATCTCTGATAAGGTAGTCATTTTCCACAGGATATGCAAGATTTCATAATGCCTATACTTGCATATGATCATGGATGCAATCCGAATTCAAGACTGAATGTGACATGATTTCATTATTGAAATGTTTTATTGATCCCCCTGATCCTATCCATTGTGTTATTACAGCTACAGACTGCTCTTCAGAGTGGTGCCACTGAAGCATGTTGGATACTATTAACCATGTCTATTGAAAATTCACTCTGGCACTCCTATGGCCTTGGTGAGGTGGCACTGTAAAAGCCTGCAACAATGAGTATTGCCAATCCTATTAACATTTTTACCTGGGTAAAAATTACCCGAAGATGTTATTTTCAGTGCTGAAATTTTTAACCTGTTATTCAATATATGATACAGATACCATTTTTCTTTATTCTCCTACTACAGTTTTAAGTGGCAAAAGAAAAGGTTATCATTCAGATGAGCTACTTCTCTGAAACTGTGAGACAGAAACCAATTATAGATGCCTGAGATAGATGGGATTTTGCTCCTACTATGCAGGTCCCAATTATGTCACATACACACTGCCACAAGGAACAAATACAGAACTGGAAAGAATAAGGAAGTTGTTTAACAAATGCATTTGTGTAAGTCATTCTGGGCTTACCCTGAGTAATGGCGGCCTGGTTTTCTAAAACAAGCATATGTCTGCTCATTAGTGGCATCGGAGCACCCCTCAGTGGGAGCAAAATGTCAACTTATCCCCATGTAACAGGACAGCCTAGAGATATGAAGTGTGTAAAACAGTGACTGTGCTTTCCAGGCAACACATGAACAATTCAGCATATTAATCGTTCAGGTCACTGTGAACAGAAATGTGAGCTATTATTAGCAGTACATGCCATCTTTAGCTCTGGAGGGTACTGCTTCATACAAAGACTTTAAATTTCTTCTTTTTACCCGTTAATCATAGTTTTGCCCGAGGGTTTAACAAGAAGCATCATGAAGGGTTTCCTTCACACCTTGTCAAACCAGAGACCAAAATGGGACTCACCTGTCACATGTCGGAGATTCACAGAATTCCTTCATTTCCTTCCGCTGTGTCCCACTTAGGCCTTTCGGAAAATATACTGGTTAAGAAGCAGTGCCCTCCTTTTTGATATATGGGCTTTGTATTTCTACAGAACATTTTGAGTATAAGTGTTTGAGGTAGCTGAATCACTCCCAGCCTACATTGTACATTTTCAAAGGGACTATAACCACAGAGAAAGGAAATTACAACTTGAGCTTTATTGGAAGTGCTGTACCTGGCTCAAGTTAGTTAGCCAAGTGAATAAATGAATGAGTGTACAAACAACTAGAAGTGACATTTCAGTTACTTTTGCTAGCCTGAAAACTATTAATCTTGTAATTAAAGGGTGTGAGATTTGAAATTTTATTAGAGTATTTCTGTCAAATATTTCTACAATACCTTTGGGTCTGGAGCTCAGGTAAAAACCATCTTCATCATCTTCTCTTCAGCCAAAGATTCAAGCTGGGACCAGCATATCCCCAGGCACTCATCACAAGTAATTACCCTGCAGAGGGAACACAGCCAGAGAAATGTTACACCATTACTATTATTACTTTTTTTGGATTAAGTAATAAATATTTTAGAGACTAAAGCTACCCACATGAAATGACAAATGAGCATACACCAAATCCCCATGTACTTGACTGTGCACCTTCAGGACTCTTCTACCCGAGATAAACAGCAAAAATTCCCTTCCCCACCACTGTGAGCACTAATTTTCCTTTACAAACTAGAATCTCCTTCAAAGCTAAAATCTACTGTGATATTAGTTACTTTTATAAAAGTTTCTAATCTGTTTGCAGAATAAGGTTAAAACAACTTCAGACAGCAAAATAAAAGGTGATTTCTTCTGTAGAGCTAAGGGTATTTCTCAATCTTTTCCAGTTTGCAGATCCCCTGGCCTGTCTGAGAGAGGTGCAAGTCTTTGTACAACAAAGTTAACCTTCCTGACCACAGGACTACATTTTCTATATGCTTTTGCACAGCATTTCGATGTTATTCAGAACCCCAAATATTCATAGACCCTGCAGTAAAAAATCAACAAAACTGTTCTTTTTCCATTACCATGTCAAACTTTGTCTCTCATTTATAGTCATTCAACTGGTAATACTTTCTCAAAACTAATTTTTGTGCCAGAAAAATTGCAAAAATAGATAGTAAAGAAACACTAATGAACTGTGGGGAGTTTATAAAGACAATTTTATATCAAAGAAATTAATTTTTAAATGACCCCATTATTTGATCTTTCACTACATTTTTCCTAAACGTAGATAAACAACTTCAAGTCTTAATCAACAAGTATGGTACAGATTTTGGGAAATATTTAGACTTCTTAGAAGTTACTTCTAGTCATTGCAATATTTATCAGTTTTTGAGTTTTTGATAAAATATCAAAATTCTACAAAAAAAATAATGCTGATTTTGAAAATTAGCTGGATATAGAGTACATTCTCAATTCCATTTTTACACACTTTTTAAAAAGAAGTTTATTTGCATGTGGTAATAATAAAAAAGATCTTCAAAATTCAAAAAAATTTTCATGGGTTGATTTGGATCAATACACTCTTTTATTAGGACTTTAAAAATATTGACAGAATGATTTGTCACTTGAGAAAATAACCTAACAAACACAGAAATTCCACAGATGTTAAAGGAAAATAAAGGTTTTATGTCTATAAAAGTTTTATGTCTATTTACTATGTAGCATCAGCAATCCACATATTTGGTGTATCTGAACTTCTTCAGGTCGTGGACACAGGAATTAAAAAAAACTGTATTGTATTGCCAATATTTCTAAAATGCAAAGACCTCAAACAATTCCCTGAAAGCAGTTTAGCCCCACCTGAACTATGACAAATTAAACCCTTTGTGAATCAGAGGTGTATGCACCATTCCTCCAAATATCTGCTTTTCATTCTGCAGCTTCTGCTTCTTTAAAAGTTTGTGTCATATAATCTGCTCCAACTTTAAACCACAGTTATTCCCTCTGTTTGACATTCATCTACAACCAAAGAAAACCTTTCATCAGTGTCTTATTTTTAGTTTTCATTTTTTATGTTTGTTAAAAGTTCTCATCTGTTTACTACTAGCATTGCTCTGGTCTAGAAGATTCTGGAAAAGTTCTTATTTCAAATACGTATTTCTGTAAAGAAACAGAACACGGCTTTCACATAGACTGATATCTCTAAGTAAACATTATGAGGAAATTCAGGAGCAGTAAATGCAAGAATGCAATCATATAACTTATTTCTAACAAAATTTAAAGCATGGCATGGCAAAGGTGCTGCTAGAGACAAGCAGCATAACTGTAAATTTCTGTAAGGCCAGAGATTTGCCTTACTTTCACTCTAGCCTAAAAATGCAAATGCAAATCTCTTGAGAGATCCAGGTGAAGTCCACAGAGACAGCCTGAGTGCTCAGAGGCAGATTCTACTCACTTTTTCTAAAAAAGGATATCTTAGAAACTCAGTCTCAGAGGCGAAATTTGAAAGACACATTACACACAGAACTAGACTACTCCTTGAAAAATACAACCTCAGAAGACCACACTAAAAGAGTTCCAGTATGAGAAAAGCCCATCTCTAATCTGTTAGAGATGGGATGGATTCTTGCGGGGTGAGGTTAATAAATCAGGTTGTAATAATAACTAGTAGATTGTTTCTGTCCATATAAGAACATTGGGACAATTGATCAGATTCCTTTTTCTTGCAGCAAAACTACTACCTACTCTTAAAATAAAAAACATACGAGATGTCACTTATAATATTTCCCAGTTTTAAGCTTCCTACCCAGACACAAAGCTTTGGGATCAGCCTGTTCCTCCCTGTGGTGTTATCTGTCTATGTAAGGCAAGCACATGCTCGACACAGCTTCCCTTCTCCCAGAGCACCTGTTACGGCCAGTGCTGTCTCCCTGAACCATCCTCCAAGGTGACCATGCTCTCTTAACAAACAGACTTTAGAGAGTTTTCAACTTTTTTTTTTTTGGGGTGGGGGGTTTGGTCTTGCCTTCTACAGATTGTTCAGCTTGGAAAATAGAAGACTTCAAGATGACCTAATTGTGGCCTTAGAGTACCAGGAGGGGAGCCTACAAGAAAGATGAGGAGAGACCTTTTACAGTAATAAGAGTGGATGGCCACAAACTCAAAAGGAGTAAGTTTAAATTAAATATTAGGAAGAGGTTCTTTACTTGAAGGGTGGTGAGACACTGCAATGAATGTGTTGTCTAGAGAAGCTGTGGATGCCCTATCCCTGGAAGTGTCCAAAGGCAGTCTGGATGGAGCTCTGAGAAACCTGATCCACTGAAAAAGGGATTGGGATTAAATGATCTTTAGGGCTCCTTTGAACCTAGGCCACTCTGGGTGTAGAGGATTAAAATTTCTCCAATTTTTATTGTCAAGGACTAAGTTTTGTTTTTAGGAGTTTTAAAATTTTTTTTTTTTTTTTTTTTTTTTTTTTGGGGTGGGGGGTGGTTTGGTCTTGCCTTCTACACATTGTTCAGCTTGGAAAATAGAAGACTTCAAGATGACCTAATTGTGGCCTTAGAGTACCAGGAGGGGAGCCTACAAGAAAGATGAGGAGAGACCTTTTACAGTAATAAGAGTGGATGGCCACAAACTCAAAAGGAGTAAGTTTAAATTAAATATTAGGAAGAGGTTCTTTACTTGAAGGGTAGTGAGACACTGCAATGAATGTGTTGTCTAAAGAAGCTGTGGATGCCCTATCCCTGGAAGTGTCCAAAGGCAGTCTGGATGGAGCTCTGAGAAACCTGATCCACTGAAAAAGGGATTGGGATTAAATGATCTTTAGGGCTCCTTTGAACCTAGGCCACTCTGGGTGTAGAGGATTAAAATTTCTCCAATTTTTATTGTCAAGGACTAAGTTTTGTCATAAGAGATCTTCCAGGTCCTGAGCAGGCTCAACACAGCTGACTACTACAGTGACATAAATATTAGGCAATAGTTTGTATCTTCTTGTGCGCACTGCAGTGGAACTGGGCCCAGACATTTATATTTTAGAAAAGTTGTATAAAATGTATTGCAACTTCAATTCATATTTATTTAGTTCCACCTCTCCAATATTATATGGTCTTTAGAACTAAATAAATCTTGAGGTTTTTTCTGTGTTCTTAAACCGAAATTTAGTGTTTGCTGGGAACAGTCTAACAAATTGTTTTGCACAAATCTGAGAAATTCTGGGGGAAAAATGTATAATTTCAGTTTAGTTCTGTAAAACTTTCCATCAAAACTGACAAAAAACCACCAGAAATAACATTTAAAAATACATCAAGGAGCTGACACAGTAATTTTTTCTTCAAGAAATAAACACAACTGCTGACATCCAATGCAATTTTTTAGCAAAAAGTTCGTTCTTATAAACAATAGTTATAAATTTTTAATTAAAGCTAGTTAGACAACTTAGTGGGTAATCTTGCAGTGGCTCAGACACAGTATTTTTATAAACAATAGTTATAAATCTTTAATTAAAGCCAGTTGGACAACTAACTTGTATCACCTGATGGAAACTTCTTAGTGGGTAATCTTGCAGTGGCTCAGACACAGTTTTTATTTTTAAATCTACAAATTCAACCAAATCAACAAAATTTCAACTAATTTGAATGTATACACCACAGAGCATTTCCACCAAGCTGTAGCATCCCATGAACTCTCTCGCTTTGGTCAATCCCCAGGCCCTCAGCCCTGGAAACATTAACTACTTACCACAGAGTCATCCCTCCCAAAGGGAATAACAGTCTCCCCCGCGGACTTGGTGTCACAGCATCCTCTGGTTTCTCCTTCCCTGTCACTGGTTTGGTGTCCCTGGTGACCACCCCCCTACCCTGCTGGCCAGGCCCCTCTGCCCAGCCTTTAGCTCTGCCCCCCTGCCCCTTCCCCTTTATAGGCTGCCTGCTCCACGTGGCTCATCCTTTTTCCCTGGGTCTGTCCTTCACCTAGTGTGTTATCCTGCTGGACTAAAGCCTTGCAAAAGAGCCTGTCTTGCCTCTATCACTGAGCCAGCTGTGGTGAGTGTTGAGTGGAGGTTTGACTGCATTGCCTGAATGTTAACTCAGCCTGCTTTTCAACAGGAGAGCCTTGCTAGGGACCAGGGATAGGCAGCAGCACCTACCACTTTTAACATCTGCACTTTTTCCAAGCACTCGCTCACATGAAAGGATATGGCTTTGTGGTATCTAAGATGTTTAAGATGCATAGAATTTTAGTCAGTACTTTGACCCACATCCTCCTAAGAATTAATTTTTGTGTGCTCCATATGCCAGAAGAATTTGCTGCACGATCTCTCTACAATAGGGAAGCGAGAAGGAAAGGCACCCTGCTGGTTTTGTTCTACTGCTTACAGCTTATTCTTTTACCTCCTTCTCTAGAGAGACCCTTGACAATAAGTCTGAGCCAGAGTTTAGCATAGTTCTCATCTGTAGAACTCAGATCCAAAACTTAGGAATTTGGATCTTAAGGTCTTAAGGCATTTTTTTCTTATAACTTAAAATATTTTAAATATTAAAGAATTAATAATGAGACTAATAAAAGTTAATAATAGATAGCAAAGAGACTTCAATTCGAGCAGAGAAAAAAGCTCTTAGCTCTGATTGACAAAAGCTGGATGCAGCTTTATTATTGGTGGCATTAACTCTATTGACCAGAATCTAAATCCAGGAATATTAATATATGCAGAAATAAAAAGAACATGAGCTGAAATTCAAATTATTTTTGACATTCATGAAAAGTCTAGTTGTAATACCTTGTTAGGAAAGGAAGAGTTCGCCTTCTGTGGAGCGTCAAAGCAAAATGTATGCCCTTACAGAGGATCTACTTTAAACAATTATTTTTTTATTATTTCAAAATTGTGGTTTATTAGTTAACCTTTAAAGTCCTTTTCTCAATATACTTATTTGAAATTTTGTGCTTATAATTTCAAATTCAATAAACAAACTTTAAAAAACCCCAAAGCATATGTTTGGTTAACATATTTTAAAATATACCTTAGTACATGAAAACTATTTAACATACTTCTATTGCAAAAAAAAAAATCTCTAGCGGGGGGAAGAAATTAGTGTGCCATGGAAAAAATTATTTTCCTAAACACAAAAACTTTCACTTTAATATGATACCTTGCAAAGGCCAAGACACTGATCAAATGTACTGTTTCTCCACTTTTACCATAGCATTATTAATACATGCCCAAAGCATTCTCAGTTGAATTCGATATGCATAAAACTAGTAGATATTTTTAGCAACACTCTGTTCAGAGACCATCCCAGTTTCATCTGCAAAACTTCAGTCTAATGTGTAATATTACTACTAAATTTTAGGAAAATGCGATGGAAGCAAAACTGTGGAAATCCCAAGTTTTTAGAAAGCATAATGTGTCAAGTCTGCTCCCAGTAGCAATCTTGCATTTTTTCCCCTTCCCTCTCAAAACACACAGTCCATGAATAGGAAGGATTTTTTTCTCAAAGGTCTCTACTTTTCTCAAAGAAAGGTGATAAGGATAAAAAGACTTGGGGACAGGCAGATTTTCATTCTTTCATTTTAATTAATCCCTGAAGTTTCTGTCCAGTGTTACAGAAGCTGGGAGGTCTGACCTTTCTCAAGTGTTCCCAGAGGAGAGGTAGATAAGGGATAGGTTTCAATAGCTGGAACTGTAGTACTCCTGGGCTTTTTTCTCTCTGCTGAAAAGGCCAATTTGAAAGGGAAAGGGGGGTGGGGGGCAGTGCAAGGGGAGAGAACAAAAAAAAAAAAAAAACCAAAAAATGGCCAATTTGAAAGGGAAAGGGGGATAGGGGGCAGTGCAAGGGGAGAGAAAACAAAACAAAAAAACAACAAAAAAAAATTAAAAAAAAAAAAAACAGAACAGGAAAAATCAAAACTAGATACACTTAAAAGCATATTAAGCCTAGCTCAGCTAGTCAGTTATGCTGCTCTATAGTCACTGGAAAGACGTGTGATGTCCACTTCCCAAGATGATAATTTCCATTGCAGGAAAACAAACAGAGAGTTGCTTAAGACATGCAGGATGAATAACCTGGGGCAGCTCCAGAAGGGAGTAAACCATGATGGGCCATCATCTTCCCAAGGGAATCTAGAAAGTGTATGTTTGACACTCAACTCTTTAGCTAGCTGATAGAGGAAATGGAGCCTGCTCCTTATCTGATACTCAGTGGATAGGTACATCTTCCCTGCAGGGATTTCCCCAAGCAACACAAAAATTATTCTCAAATTCAGGAGGCCTCTAAGAGGGTCAGTCCTATTCTCCAAATTTCCAAATCATCCCACTTGTGTCTGCCCCACACACACAAAAGGACAGGCAGGCAATGCTGAGGGGCACTGTGGTGGCCCTGTCTACCAGTTATATCCAAGGGGAGCAGATCATAATTCAGGGCAGTACAGGAACTTATCTGACTCTTGGAGGATTTACAGTTTTAAGACAGCAGGACAGTTTCCTTTCTTTTTCTACTTCAAGCTATGCAGCAGCACATTAGAGGCTTGGCACTGACATGAAGCAAAGGAGCTCAGATTGTTACCAGCAGCTCTTCCGCTCCTGTGCCATCTCTGTTTTCCTGTCACCTCTAGCTCCTTGGCCAAGGCCAAAGGCTCATAGTTTGGTTCAACTACTGCATCTAAGATTCCCAGCTGGATCAGCTGTCATGACAATGAGTAGGTGTTGCCATCTCATTGCAAAGATTTCATACCTTCTCACTGATTTTCATGAGCAGCTCCTCACAGCCACAGCACTGAGTCCTTCACCTCTGCACAGCCAACAAACCACATCTCAACCAGCCAACCTGCTCTTTTACAATACCCCTCTTAATTTGATCCAGCTGTGGCCTATTAAGGGCAGGCTTGTTCTTAATGCTTGATAATTGGCACAGCTGTAACTCCTTAGGGGCCAGATTACCTTCACCACTATCTCTATTCTCCTACATTTTATCTATCCACAAGTAGGCGGTGGGAACAAGTTATAGAAAGAAATCCATGTTTCCACCACTGAGCACTGCTGTTACTAGTAACAACTAAAACAATGCTTTGGAATCTACTCTCTCTGTCCAGTTAAGAGCTCCTGCCCAAAATTTCTGCCAGTTGTATCCAACCTGACTTCCTCTGAGTCATATAAGAATTAACATGCTCAGATTAACCTCCATCACTGGATTAAAATTCGTGCATTAGAATATCAAGTGTCTATTCCACCTGTTCTGGTGGAACAGACACTTGATATTCTAATGGGAGCTTACTGTATGTGGGAGCTTTCTGTGCATAGCTCAGTGTGAACGCCTACTGAAAGCTCTGAAAAATTTGTAAGAAAAGTGTAACAGGGTTAAGAAAAGGTGATGCAGGCAGAATAAGCACAGGGAAGCAATGAAATATAAGGGGTTAGCAAAGCAATGCCATAACAAGAGGCACAGCACAAACAGACAAGGTTTAAAGGGAGGGAGTTTAAAGACCTGCAAATATCTAAGGAGCAGGGATCACCTAAGAAGAGATGTCTGCATTTGGGAAGAGCATATTTTTTATTTGCCTAGGTCTTGGGAAAAGAAAAAAATACAAAACACAGATCTCATTTTATATAAATCTTTCACTTGAGAGAAATTTGCATTTTGAATGAAGAAAAAGAAGAAAACAGTGGCAAGGAGGGAGTAAGTATCACAACAAAGTATAATTAGCACTGCAATGAGTAAATGGCCACACTACTTAGGGTGTGGAAAGTCCTAATAGAGACAAATAGCACAGCTGCCTGGCATTGTACATGAAAAAATAGCTTCAGCAGTTCACTGAATCATAACAGTTCACCTAATGTAATGACTACAGAGAAAAGGTATCAGATCTAAAGGAGTGTTTTATCTATGTGGGACATTTTTGTCCTGAAAGCTGTCAGAATCACCATCCACCTGAATCCTAGAGCCTATTCATTTGAGTTGAAGAACAAAGAACCGCATCTTGCCTATCCTTTGTGTTCAACATGAAAAAGTGTCTTGACCAAAAAACAAGTAAAGTGCCAGTCTTGCAAGTCAACCCAAGCTGGACTTAAATTAAGGGCTTTCAGTGAATTTTGGATCAGAGGTAAGCTTAACCCCAAACATCTTTCACAAGCACTTTTAGGACAGATGTAATAAATTAACTGCATCCCTTTCACACATGTCTAGCTCAGTCCCTGCACTAGGAGGGAAAGAGTAAATCCTCTTCTTGTGTCCAAAGGGCAGAAAGATTTCAGCAAAGCAAAAGGAATCCCTCAGCACAGCTACCACATAGGTCTACCACATCAGTGGTGTGCAAGAACAACTTAGTTTCATGATGGTCCAGTTTTTGTATCAAGGCAATTCTAGCCATTCATAGAACACAATGTGTTGGAAAATAGAGTCTTTGTAAAAATTCCTTAAGTGAAATATATAGGGTAATGGCAGATACACCATTTAAAGGGTACTCAGGAGTTTCTCTCCAGGGTTTTTTGTGTTGGAAAATCAGTCATTAGTCTTCCTCCAATGGATCCAAGCCACTAGTTTTCCTTTAACAGCAGTTCTACAGGTACAGTGAACTGAATCAGTACATAATGTTACCACTATTCCCCTGAGAAGACAGCTGAAATCACATGCCAATTAAATTTTTTCAATGTGTTCACCTAATAGCAAAATATTACACAGCCCAGTAGCGTTCCATATATAAAAATAGCTTTCCAGAAATAGCGGCTCTGCTGTACTGGAATTTCCCAGAGGACCAGTTACTGTTGTTTTATATGTTAACACACTTGCTGCAGAGTGAAAGTACTGAAACCAAATACATTAAGCAGTAGTTTTCTTATTGCCTACAAATGGCATTTAAGCAACAGTAATACTGCTTTAGACTTGAAAAGCTTGTGCTTTCAAAATTTTGGCAAGTTGTTGGAATAATTCTGTGCTCCATTCCCAGTGCATAAATCTCAACACAGTAGTTATATTCTCAGTCAAATTACTGCAAGGGGAGGAAGCCTTGCAGTTGTCTGAGTGCAATGAGTTTGGCAAGATAGCTCTATTATTGTACTTTTTAATCTGACTTGTTTTTTCTCCACTGCTCAGCAAGAGCAAGTAATCAGAACAGAAAATGATTCCAAAATGTAAATTAGTGTGTCTGATGTAGGGAACCAGTGCATACAAAAAGTCTTGTATCAAAAACATTTCCTTTTCTAGTTCACTGCTGGCAATCCAACCCTTGAAATTAAAGAACTGCTTTTCTAATTCTAGTGTTACATTAGTGTTTCCTTTAACTATGCAGTACATGGGCACACACATATAATGTATTTTTGTTTAGAGGCTGCAGTTTCTATTAAATTTAATTACTTCTTTCTGTTTCTAGGGTAGCTTGAAAACAAGGTCAGTTTCTATTAAATACCATAACATTCCACAGAAACATAGATGCTAAAGGCATCTAGCAAGATGTGGCTACAAAATGAAGTCTTCCCAAGGCCCTGCACTACTGCATGCACATACATGGAAGATGACAACAGTTGAGGCATCTCAATGCTAACAGCTTAGACTTTTAGCCTAATGAAGCACATATTCAAAACAGTTGAAACCACAATCCTTCAATCAGTGCATCTTGAAAATGTCATTACAGTTATTCTAATGACTGTGTTGAGTTTAGAACTTACAGGGTGAAACCTCTAAGTAATGTTGATAGACATTTCTTGAAATTTTGGTCAGTCATCTTCACTACTTTTTCTGGCATATGAATTTCAGGTTATGGTATTTAAATAAAATGGAAATAAGAATAGGAGCTAAGCATATGGTGTTAAAATTTCAGAATTCATTACTTAGAAGATGCCTTCCACTGTTGCTTAATAATTAATTTTTTAGGAAATAGAGTAGATAATATGTATGTAACACCACTGAGGTATAGAGATATAGAGACTACAAAGCATAAAAGCATTTATTTCACTCAATAAATATGGAAGAGTGGATCGGTAGGTTCACAAAGAGTCACTAAACTCTGTAAAATTCAAATAGGGATCTGATTGCAGAAGTTGAGCTCCAGCTCCTGCTTTGACACAGTGCCATGTGATACAGGGAAAAGGTCTGACCCTGACCCAACATATCATTAAAATCCCTGTACATCAAGGAACATGTACTGCTTCACTGGCTTTGCTGTAGCTATGTACAGGCACTATTATTATTTATTATTCGCATTATGGTAGCTGCCTTCAACAACCAGGGCACTGCCTTCAACAACCAGGGCTTGAGTGAGCTAGTCATTATAGAGACATTTACAGGGCTCACAGTTTTCATGAGAGGCAGTATATCAAAAGAGACAAGCATGATTGGGAAGGATGACATTACAAATGAATAAATTGAGCAGGGAAGTCTGCTGAAGTCACACAGTTTCTGTGTGTAAAATTAGAATCATCCTAAAGCATATTTCAAAACAACAATCTGTATTAGGCAGGAAGGAGACACGTCTGCACAACAGAAGATTTTAAGTCTTCTTGTTTGAGCAAAGTGCATAAATTTTCTAAGAATTTCTTCACCTTTTTGCACACCTGTCATTCCTCTATGGAAGGTTTTTTCAAAACTCATTTCAGATTATGATATGTGTTTGGGTCATGGACAGAATGAATAAATCACAGTTACCTAAATTAATTTTTCTGTGTGGTACTATAATTTTGTTTGATTTATTGTCATTATGCGCATAACAGTTTTAAAAGGTAAGTAACATTAGATTATTGAGAGAAATAGATACCAAACACCCTTTATGAAACTGGCTTCTATTCCCTGTTTGATTTGAATAAGAAGGTATTTGTTGAACAAAAAGGCTTTTTGCCTTGAACCAAACAATGCTTCTTGGAAGAGCCAGGCATTATTTGTTGGATGTGATCTTGAAAGTGAGGCATTTGCCCTGAATATAAGGCAAAGCAAAAAAAAGTGCATCAACAGCATGCTTCTGTAACAAAATTGTCATCAATAATGACTAGAAGCATGAAAAGAGTGGAGCTCTGCATTTAGCATCACGACAGCATAAGGAAAAATAATTATTTCTAAAAAATTTTATTTATTAGAACTAGCTATGTTCTTTGACCATATTTTCAGCTATGCTTTAAGATCATTTAGGACTTCAGGCTAAATCCCCATATTTAAATTCTCTCAAGTATTAAGTATGTTTGAAATTAAAATTTCCTTCCAGAACATAATTTCAGAAGTTAGCACATTAAATCAATAGAGTAAGCCCATATCTTCAATCCAAGCATACCAGTGTAACTTTGAATTGAATTGAATTTTGCAGGTTTTGTCCAAACACTGACTCCTATAAAATGTTTCAAATATGATCCTTAGAACTTACTACCATCTTAGCTATGAGAACTAAAAGTCAAGCTTCAAAAATTATTTAAAATTGTGTTTACAGCAAGTATTCATTGTGAAAATGTAGCTAAAGTTATCTAAATCACCAAAAATTCTGTGTTTAGATTATTTTACCCCTGCTTTCAGATGTCCTGATTATGCTTCATACGATTTGAAAACTTCAACCATATACTTGCTTTAACTGTCTTCATAGCTGGAGAAATTTTTTCACCCTGTAAATTAATCAGCCCATCAAAGACTTCTGTAGTAGATGTGAAAATAAGCAATATGAGGGGGGAAAGAAAATCAAACAGTACTTGGTAATGTTTCTGATTTTACAGTGAAGCTCACTTGACAGCTGAGCCTTAACAATAATTCCTTGATTACATGAAAATCCTAGGGTTTTTATTTCCTTTTAATAAAAAGTAGAAGAGGAAACATTAGT